CCTAACCCTCAACCTCCAACCCTGTTTTCTGTGACACGTGTCAAAATGGGGGTCCTAACCCCAGGCATACACAGAATCAACAGCGATTCAATCTCCAACCCTGTTTTCAATCTCCAACCCTGTTTTCAATTTCCAACCCTGTTTTCTGTGACACGTGACAAAATGGGGGCCCTAACCCAAGACATACACAGTGAAAACAGGGAGTCAATCTCCAACCCTGTTTTCAATCTCCAACCCTGTTTTCTGTGACACGTGCCAAAATGGGGGCCCTAACCCCAGGCATACACAGTGACAACAGCGATTCAATCTCCAACCCTGTTTTTCTGTGACACGTGGCAAAATGGGGGCCCTAAGCCAAGACATACACTGTGAAAACAGGGAGTCAATCTCCAACCCTGTTTTCAATCTCCAACCCTTTTTTCTGTGACACGTGACAAAATGGGGGCCCTAACCCAAGGCATACACAGTGACAACAGCGATTCAATCTCTAACCCTGTTTTCAATCTCCAACCCTGTTTTCTGTGACACGTGACAAAATGGGGGCCCTAACCCCAGGCATACACAGTGACAACAGCGATTCAATCCCCAACCCTGTTTTCAATCTCCAACCCTGTTTTCTGTGACACGTGACAAAATGGGGGCCCTAACCCTAGACATACACAGTGAGAACAGGGAGTCAATCTCCAACCCTGTTTTCAATCTCCAACCCTGTTTTCTGTGACACGTGACAAAATGGGGGCCCTAACCCTAACCCTGTTTTCTGTGGCACGTGACAAAATAGGGGCCCTAACTCCAGGCATACACAGTGACAACAGCGATTCAATCTCCAACCCTGTTCTCAATCTCCAACCCTGTTTTCTGTGACACGTGACAAAATGGGGGCCCTAACCCCAGGCATACACAGTGAAAACAGGGAGTCAATCTCCAACCCTGTTTTCAATCTCCAACCCTGTTTTCTGTGACACGTGACAAAATGGGGGCCCTAACCCAAGACATACACAGTTTAAACAGGAAGTCAATCTCCAACCCTGTTTTCAATCTCCAACCCTTTTTTCTGTGACACGTGACAAAATGGGGGCCCTAACCCTAAGCGCACGTGTGGGTGAGTGTTTGAAAATTCGCAACAAGCAAATTATTTATAGTGGAGAAAATTTGTCAATACAAGCCCAAACGGAGGCCGCGAAATGGTCCAAGTGTGGGGGAAGCAATGGGCGTGAGGCAGCGGTGCTCAACTGCTTATTTCTCGAGCCCCTCTGCATGAAAAGTGGTTCCGTCTTTTGTGTCGTGCTCGGAGCGCACGTGTGGGTGAGTGTTTGAAAAATCGCAACAAGCGAATTCTTTATAGTGGAGAAAAATTGTCAATACAAGCCCAAACGGAGGCCGCGAAATGGTCCAAGTGTGGGGGAAGCAATGGGCGTGAGGCAGCGGTGCTCAACTGCTTATTTCTCGAGCCCCTCTGCATGAAAAGTGGTTCCGTCTTTTTTGTCGTGCTCGGAGCGCACGTGTGGGTGAGTGTTTGAAAAAATCGCAACAAGCAAATTCTTTATAGTGGAGAAAAATTGTCAATACAACCCTTAGCTCTTCCTACTGAACCAAGCCTGTAAGTTCATGCTATCGTAAAACAACCGAACCAAGCCTTCCGTGCTGTCGTAAAAGGTTGACAAGCAACTGCCTGTTGCACTAGTATTCGAAAACCGTGTGGGAGCGAATTTGGAGTCTCCGAACATTGATATTTGGCGGCGTTCTGCCTGGACAAGGAACAAACGACCTGGATATCGACCAACATCTCAGGCAGTCTCGGAAAACGCCTGATGGTCCTCCAAACAACTCCAAACAGAACAACGAAACTGCCAGGCACAAAGTACTGAAAAGTTTACAACATCTTCTGCTTTTGTCCCACATTCCCGGGAAATAAGGAGGAGCGAAGGAGCACACCGCTACCACACGAATGAGCAAAAAAACAAATCGGCACTGAAATCGTTTGGAGCAGCGCAGCACTACGGCATACCCGGTAGAGGTAGAGTACACGCAACGCAAAGCACGACACATGAGCAAAATTAGCGGGTAGATTTCCCCACACGGTCGGCGAACCCGCCACGGCTATGGGGTGTTGCCGCCGGTGGCCCTTCGGAAGCACTTGACTTTGTACAGAGACACCCAAAACAGAGAAAAAAATTCACGCGCTTGTTGCCTTTCTGTTACGGTTTCTGCTCAGTATGCTTTAAAATCCGTACCGATCAACTGACGCGGGCGCCTTCCGCATGCTTCAAGACACACCAAAATGGGTAATCTTGGTCAACAACTAAATCTTCCACAGGCCCAATGTCTTTAGCGAAGTTGATCCGAAAACATGCCAACCAAAGACAGTTGGTATTGGTAAAAGCGTAGTCAGACAAGGGTAAAATGGCAGCACAGGCGGGGCTCTACACTAGAAGTACGTTTCCATTCACGCACCCCCGCCTTACGGTGCCGCCGTTGAATACAATACACAAGGCCACGGACACACGGCTGATAGACGAGGGAAAAGGACCTTTTCACGTTATGCCGAACCGAGCCTGTCTTTGCTGGCTGTCTCTTCCTTTCCTTCCTTTCCAGGACAGTCCTCGCTGCGGTTTGCCTGCGTTCGGTGTGAACGCCTTCAAAGCAAGTCCGCGTAGGAGTTGTGAAGAAGCAACCTGCCGAGGTGTCATCGTGTCGCCTCCCTCTCCACGGGGATGTTCGTCAGGGCCTGAAAATGTCACCGTTGTCACAAGCACGAACGGCATCGACGTTTGTCATAAAACAGAAGAGGAGGCCCGGCGTTCGTGCAAGAAACAATGGACAAGCACCCCAGTACGAGGCGAAATTTGGAATCACAGCAGTGTCAACAATGCGTTGCGCACTGATCGCACCATGACGGCATGCCATGGTTGATTGGGATGACGCCACAAGCCACCTTGACCATCAGCAGTCATATCACGAGATCACCAAGCGCGGAAGTGACTCCTGTGCCCCGGTAAATACACCAAAACGGACTACAACCGCAGGCTATTCCGCACGGTGACGATGAGCCTAGCGATGTCTGTAACGTCCTGCATTGCAACATAATTGCGGGGACATTTCCCTGTATAGTTATGCCCTGCAGTCACGAGCTGCACTTGGTAGATGTGCAAAGTAGATGGCGTTAAAAACCGTTTATTGATGTACAGCTCAAAGCATTCCGTCGACACGTCATTGCATGGGTTCAAGACCAAGGTGAAAAACACAGAACAGGAGGAAGACAAAGCAAGAGGGAGAAGCAACGCGGGCAAAAGTGTAAGGAAATAATAGGAAAGTTTTTCGTCGAACAGACAGGAACTTAGTGTTCGTGTGACGGTCGAATTCTAGCCCAATTATTGTTCCGAAACCTGGGGTAATGAGTGGAAACAATTGTCACCCCTCCCTGTTACTTCGTGTAGAAGGGCACAAGCGGAGACTACAGAAGAGGTGAAAACACGGAAGGACAGCAGCGGCCGCCCAACGTAGTTGGCGGCGGAGTAGAAAAAGGAGGAACGAAAGGATGAGAACACGCAGGCGCCGGCACAGCGACCGGCGCTTGATGCCCTCTGCTAACCTCCCATCCCGCGACGCGCTTGGTAACATATGATCTCTGTTGGACGTCAGGCGGTTGTCCATGCTGTTCACGTGACGCGTCTGCTCCATCCCCATCGACTCCCCATATACGCGGGCGCCACATTTTCCTACAAGCAATTGAACTGCGCTACAACGTGGCGGATGTTGGTAGGGTGTATCGCTTCACACTTGCCCAGTATCGCGTTAACCCGGTCGTTAGTAGACGTCGACTCACAAACAGCGACGGCGGTTACCGAACGGCACGGAGGTGTGGAAAACACACAGAACAGAGAACAGCAAAACCAAAACCCTTGCTTGCAACGCAACGCTGACGTACGGCCGGAGGGGCGTGTTATGAACCTTGAACTTTGCTGCCATGTTTGCAAAATCGTGCTGACAACGGAAGATTGCGTTGTGCAACGCAGCACTGTTGTGCCGGCAATAGCATGAGGAAGTACGATAGCTGCTCCTCACCCATTAGCACACGCGCGACTGCCGCACCGGTGCTGCAAGACAGGCAGTCAGACGGGCTCACTAAATTTCAAAACAACACCGCAGGCAACTACAATCCCAGGTTGGGAAAAAAAATTCTCCCCCTCCAATAAGTTGGGGGGGGGAGGTGCGTGGGTAACGTCTGTGAGATATAAACACAGCGTAGTCGACTAATACCTACGACTGACACAAAGATAAGATCACCAATTATATATGTGTATGTATCATTTCGATGTTGTTCAGGCTTCGGGACATGTTTCGCTCGCCGCGAGCGAGTTTTGTCGGACGGTCCCTTCTCAGGGGCACGCAGGGGGCTCGTCGGTACATTACCGCGCACGCCCGAGGACGGCAGCCGCCCGTGGCGCGTGTTCTTGACGCCCAATGTTGTAAAAACTGGCTCTATACCACGGGGACGTGTTCTGCGCAACGAAAGCTCACCGAACCAAACTTTAAAAACCAGACCAAAACAAATCATCAACCCACGGCGCCGGGATCAACCACCACAGAGCCACAGAGCCAGCAGTTCGCATGACGAGCATGTGCCATCAGAGGATCAGTTCCCGCGCTTCATTGTGAGAGGCACGCAGAATGTTGGTTGGTACCCTATCGTATACCGTAGGTGACACAAGATATCACACCCGTGTGATAACATTTTTGAAGGTCCAAAAGTTATCACACGGGTGTGGTACTCTGTGGTACTCTGTAGGGGGTGTGATATCTTGTGTGACCCGTGTGATAAACTGCTCTCAGAGGATTCCACCCCGCAGGGTGTGTGATAACAGGGGTGTGTGATAAAAAGGGGGTGTGATAATGCCACCCATGGAACGAACTGCGCCTACACCCCACCCACAGGAGGTGTGGTAACAAGGGCGTGTGAGAAAGATGGGGTATGAAAATGTCACCCGTGGAAGAAGTCCGCCCACACGACCCAACCTACGGCGTGTGCGATAACGAGGGGTGTGATAATCATGGCGTTTTATAACGTTACACCGATCATGAAGTGCTCCTACAAGATTTCTGGGTTGCGGGTGGTGTCGCGTGACCGTCAGCAGCACGGGCGGTGCCAGGCACAACAGATGTTGTTGGGGAAGCGTCAGCGGTAGGTTCTGCTGCGCGGTCCTCGGTAGCACGGGCGGTGGCAGGCACACCGGGTGCTGCGGGAGTCTCAGGCGCCACAGAAAAAAATGTAGTAATTGGGCGTGGCGCTCCCGCTGGAGTCTGAGCCGCGATGCTTTGAGCAGTGTTATGTGCTTCGTTCATCTCCGCGGTCATGTCGGTCGCCATAGCTGGAGTGCAGGGTTGCGGCGTGCGCTATGTGCGTGATGACGGCCTACCACACCGGTGTGATAGGGGGCTCCGTGATATATTTTGCGGCTCAACTTAGGGGGTGTGGTATCTTCTGTGACAGCGTGATAAATCGATACGTTTTTCCAGGACGCAAAATATTAACACACGGGTGTGGTTTTCTGTAAGATTTCGTTAGGGGTGTGGTATCTTCTGTGGGTGTAGTACCTTGTGTCACCTACGGTATGCCTGGGATTCACCACGCCAACTGCTACACAGCGGACAACACACGACAACTTTCCCGGTTCCCCGCCACGGTATTTCGCGAGGAAATTTACTAGAAATAACCCAAAATGATCGCAGAGAATCTGTAGGGAGATCTCTGAGTGATACCGTACAAATACATACCCGCCGAAAAGAATGTAGTTCATGTAGTTCAAGACAGCAGTCAGTATCACAGCAGCAGATCTACAGCACAGACGCCGCTACCGCACGCGAAGAGTGGACAAAAAAAAAGGTTTCGCCGCAAATTGATGCGAGTAATTTCTGCAGCTTGTACTAATCGTGGCACTACCGAAGGTTGAATGACAAAACGATGCACCCATGGTAACAGCGTCCATGCCCTCTGGCGTGACCCGAGGGAGGCAAAACACCAAACAAAAAACTACCGGTATTCCACTCCCGGGTGTGATACCGCTCGAAACGAGTATTTTGCGATGGCTGTGCGGCACTTGCACACGTTGCCCCACTAAACAAACGGTTCGTCAACTGAGTTTATTTTTCTTCCGCCCGCTTAGCGCTTCTAAAAAATGTCTGCGCCTTGTCAGATGGGTAGAAAGGTTAGAGCAGCGGAAAAAACAATTAGCAGTTCCCAAGTACCAACAATGGCCCGTAGCGCCCAAGACCTCTGCGCCACGCAAGGAGGCGAAAACAGCTCGCGGGGGAGGTGCAACTGGTGGGCACAACCGCGCCACCAACGGTCTCGCTGGCTGCTTCGCGTGCTCCTGGCGCCCCCAGTACCGACGCCGTTAAGACCGCTGCAAAGCAGCGGGCCCTTCGTCGGGTGAAACCGGGGATATATATGGGGACGGCCTCCGGCCATGGTGTGAATTTCGCAGCCCGAGTGGCAAGCCATGCTCCACAACAGCGTTCTAGTGACAAGAGCGTAGCGGAGTCGCTCGACACGCTATCAAACTTCCGGGTCGAAGCTTACACTTGGGAAACTGTCCAGGCTCGACCGCT